CCACCAGAGCAATCCTCTTACTTCCCCATCTTCATCTTCCCATGGGATCCAAGACCTGAGACAGAGACAGCCTGCCAAACTGAACCGCCTTCATCCTCTGCCTGTCCAGTGTTGGTCATCAGCCTGAGCCCAGCAAGGGCCAGATTGTACGTAGTCTGTCCTCTGAGCCTCAGAGCAAATGCGCTCCTCAAAGAGAAGGCTGCCTGGACCCCTGGGTTCAGACAGAGCTGCTGAGCCCCATGTCAAATTGTTAAATGTTTTTGTTCTGTTGCTCTTTCCCACTCCTTTTTGATGACATTTACAAAAGAAAGCAAGCTGCTTGGATGGTCTGGAAGCAAGGGAAAGGGCATGAAGACAAGGATAATGGAGTGTACCAGAGGCTTGGGTTACACTTGAGCCCCAGAGTACCTCTCTTGTTAAGGGCCCATGGATTCTCCCCAGCCCCACTCTCTCCTCCAGCTATGGTGATGGCAGAGGCAGAAGAGAACGCTCAGCCCAGTTCTCACAGGAAAGGAAAACTCATCATGGGCTTTTCAGAGAAGGTTCCACCTTACGCTCGTACATTGTCTTTACCATGTGCTAGGATATCACATTCAACAGGACAAAAAAAAAAATGTAAAATACTTGAATGAGCTTGTATCATAACATTAATATTATTGAGAGTGTCTGCTTCCCAGGCTGAAGTGATTCATTCATTATTCTGGTCCTGCTCTAGTCCTTTGTAATTGGTGGTAATTATTATGCTTTTCTTTTTAATACAAAAAAATGTATAAAAATAAAAACTTGAAAAGGCAAAACACTGGTTGTTCTCCCATCTGGGACACTGCTGTTGGGTTGAGAGAGGAGCCTGGTGTGTGTTCCCAGATGGAGAAGCCCATGCTGTCTGCATGAGCGTAGTGTAAAGAGCAGCCTCTAAGAAGAGGCTGCTTTTGGCTTCTGGGCCTTTACTTAAGGCAGGGCCCTCAGTGCTGTTATCCAGGTGCTGAGCCCCTTTGGCCCTCATGGACCCTGCATACTGTGAAGCTGGTGAAAGGGTGGAATTGAATTTCCATTCCCCAGGATGTATGCAAGAACTCTTGTACAAAGTGTTTACAGAACTGTAGGTATGGTGTGGTCATGGCTTTCTTCCAAGAATTGACACTTTTAGCATTTCTTACTGCCAGGTGAGTGGATGATAACAGCCACCAGTTGCCTCCATTCTGTAGATTGCCAGGTGAGCCACCTCAATCACAGTCATTAGGGGATGGCTGTGTCAGCTGGCTCCTCAGTTGTATGGCCTTACTTCCCTGCTGTTTTTGAAGTGTGTGTATAGGGAGGGGGCAGCACAATCTACTAGAGTTAAATAGAGACTTTATTTACATGCTCCTCCTTTGTCATGTTTTTATGAAGAATTTAAGACCTTTTATTCACCAATATTAGGGCCTTATGGGGACAGGCCATGTACCCTTAACATGTACCTCATAATCTCCATTTTTAACTTCTTGACCCTGCCCCTTTTGATGTTACTGCATTTCAGTTGCTCATATGAGGAAGGGGATGGCTGCCATCTGGCAATGGGGGTAGCGTGGGGGAGTGGGTTGATATTTAAGGGAGGGACACAGGTTGCCAAGGCTGGGACTCACTGCAAAAATGCTCAGTTGCCAGCTGGCCCAGTCTTGCGTTGGCCTCAGTGCCACAGGATGAAGCCCTGTTCTGGAGAACTGGCTTGACATTGATATTTTCCTCTGTCTAAGCTAAGCAGTTGGGACTACAGTGCAAACTGCTGTAGTGAACTGTGTTTGAAAAATATTCTAATTAAGCAACAATAGGGAGCCTTGACTAACCTTGAACTGAAAATGTCAGATCAGCACAATTGTGCTGAGATTTAGTGAATTGGTAATGGTGGCAGCCTTCTGAGAGATTTGTATCTTGGGAGGGCAAAAGTAATCCAGGCTTTCTTGATGGGAAGCAGGGAGTGCGTCTAGCATGTCAACACATCTGGCCTGTGACTACCCCTGGTTTTGTGTGTGAGAAAGGTTTTTGGAGCCTGGAAGCCTCCAGTCCCACTGTCGTCACCCTATGCCAACTAGGCCACGGGGGAGCTATCTATATGAGGATTGTATCAGAGAACCAAGAGATTCCTCCAGGCTCTCAAGTGATTTTTCTCCTTTGTCCTTCAGCCCAAATAGCTAGTTCTTTTTCTCTGAGTTGACTCCTGGTCCTAACATAAGTAGTTTTGGTGGAAGCCCAGATCCTATCATGGCCTTTTCCTGGCAGGAATCTTGCATTCCCTTTACCCTGATGGTATAGTCTTTAGAGTGTGGTGGCCAAGTTGTTAAGGGCAACATGGCCCCTAGGCAGTATCCACACCCCCTACTTGTGAGGGAACAGTCCAGATGGTCCAAGTGGACTCTCCATCTTCTTTGGAGGATCAGGGATGCTCTCTGAAAGTGGAGTGAAGCCCAGCAGGAGCACATGTCTCTCATAGGCCTTCGTCTGCTTAAACATGATGTCAGTCCCATGCAGGTGATCCAACACACCCAGAACCCCGTAGCACTGGTTGAACCTGAAGGAGGGAAGAGAACCTTTCATGCTTAGTATCACCATACTGCCCAGCTGTAACAGTGGAGCCTAGAGCACTTGAAGGCTTCCAATTTCAGTCTCCCCAAACTGAACTGAAACTATGTGAGCTGTTTTTGAGCTTGTGGCACTGCTCCTGCTTCAACTTCCTCAGTGTTGGCATTAAAGTTGTGAGCCACTGTGTGATTATGAACTGGAGGATAGAACCCTGGGCCTTGCACATGTTAGGCAAGTACTTGCCAGGCCTCTCTCCGGTGTCGTGCATGACTACTTGCACAGAGACCAGAGTGGGCATTTACTTCCTCCACTACTCTGACCTCCCCTTTACCTGTTCTTCCTGAACCTGGAGTTCTCCCTAAATCCACTAAGCTGTCAAGCACCAAGCCCCAGCTCTCCTGTCTCCTCTCAATACTAGGGGCTGTAGGCATGCACAGGACCAAAGTTGACATGTATGTGGGTGCTGAGATCTCACACTCTAGGAGACCCACCTGCTGAGTCTTGGCCTGCCACCATGCCCCTCCCCTCCTTTGGGGTGGTTATTTCAAGACAGTGTTCCTTTGTAGCCTTGGCTGTCCCACAACTCACTTTGTAGACCAAGCTGGCCTTGAATTCAACAGAGATCCACCTTTGTCTGCCTCCTTCCTTACCCCCTGTTATTGTGATTCTGGTGTGTAGAAGTTAGAACTATGCAAACGTAGGCTTGTTCAGATAGCTTGAGGGCCTCCCTGCATCAGAACACCTTGAAAGACATTAGGCAGGTTCTCTGGCCATGCTTCACAGGTACTTTGGTGGTTTTGGGATGGGACCCAAGAACCTGTGTTCTAAGTGTCAGGTGACTCAGGAAGCTAAGATGGTGCTTAGAAAAGCCTGGGATGAGGCCATTTGTGTGACACCTTTAATCCCAGCACTCAGGAGATAAGAGGCAGGAGGCTCTCTGGTTTGAGGCCAGCCTGGTCTACATGAGAAGTAGGGTAGCAAGGACTACATAGAAAAACTCCATCTCAAAACTAAGAGGCCATGTTACGTAAGTGTACCAATTTTTTATGCGCACAGGTTCTGAGGAAGACCCAGAACCCAAATAACAGCTAAAAATCCCAACTGTAGGAAGGACCTGGTGTCAGAAGGAAAAAGGTGAAGGTAGCTCTACCTAGTCAGCATCTTCCCTGCAGCCAGGTATCTCCCCTGGCTGACTTATATTTAGCTGGAGACACCTCTGTCTGCACACTTGAGCAAAGGTACTGTTGGCTTACTTGAGATGGTGGTAGTCGTGGAACTCAGGTGAAGGCAAGAAGGGCAGGTGGTAGCCACAGTGGGAGATAGTGGTGATGATAAGAGCGAGGGACAGCCACACGGTGATGGAGGACAGATGAGAGCCCATTGCTAGAGGACCCACCAGAACTGGCAACATGTTGGAAACCTGCAAGAGAAAGGCTGCTTCAGGAAGACCTCCTTGGCTTATTAAGACATTCAACTCAGCTTCACCTTCCTCTACAGCATTCAGTGTCCAAAATGGGGGGTGGGGGGGAGAATACAGTAACACTCACTGGGTACCTGGCACAAGAGATGGCACCTATTCAGTGGGAAGGGGAAAAAGGGGTAAGGAACCATGAGCCTCCACTTCTGGGGCTCCAGGGCCTGTATTTACCACGTGTTCTATCGGATGGGCATAGATTGAGATCACACCAATGGGTGCTGTCCATTCGTGATGTTTTTTGTGAATTTTCTTGTACAACGTCGGGTGATGAAGGAGCCTGGAAAGATAATTCATAGTTTTCCTTCTCCATCCTGAGCAGATCATCAGAAAGCAAAGGTGAGAATGAGGTTCACATCTGAGAAGCCCTTGCCCTCCTCTAGTCTGTGGAGGATGAGGCTGGCTTACTTTACCTGGCAACCCTAGTGGTGAATAAACTGATACCTAGAAAAAGACTGTCAGGAAGTGGATGGGAACTGACCCATTCTCCCATTCACTTGGCATTGCGTCAGGTTGGAGACTGAGTTGTGTCTCTCTGGCAATTTTGGGGTGGGGCCTAAAGACAGAGACCACAGTTTAGTGGCCTCTGCTGACCAGGGAGCTGTCCCAGGGTGAGGCCAGCTGTGTGTACATAGAGAGCTCACCGGTGTGAATAGTAGAACAAGATCTCCTCCACGAGGGTGAATAGAGCCAGCTCCACAAGGAACCAGTGGAAGGTGGGTAGCTCTTGGCAGCAGGGGTCTCCCCTCCACTTGAAGAAAGGATAGAAGATGACCAACATGGGAAGAGAGATCATGGTCTGGTTGAAAAGAACTGTGGGGATAGACTGGCGCAGCTTCACGGGGTCCACCTGCCGGGGGACAGAAGGAATGGGGAGAGGGGCACATGAGAAGTTGGTCTACCTGACCTGCTCGGGGTGGGCTTCTGGGAGTGGGTGGGGTAGTCCTGCTTGTCCTCCAGACTGTCTCACCAGAACATAAGCTTTGTGGGCCAGGGTCAGCCACTGCTGAGTTCTGACCCACAGAACATCCAGTACTCTACAAGGACAATGAAACAAATACCAATTAAACACAGGAACAGATAAGCAGTGATGATTGGTTCAGCCAGCTTGAAGGATTAGAGAAGAGATTCAACTACCCTAGCCTCAGAAATGGAACATCTGCATGGGTTCGAGGTTGGCATGGGCAGGGCCCCAACCTCAGCTTGCTCTGCTTGTGGCCAGTCCAGAGAGGCTGAACTGGTAACAAACTTGTCCCAGGAGAAAGGGCTAAATGGTCGCTTTGGATTGCCTACCTAAGAACTGGCAGCCTCCACCAAGTGCCCTAGTGGCTGCAGGACACCTGCTAGAAATATACTATCTGCAAATTAGGCCACTTGTGTGGTCTACAGAAACAGGAAGGAGGTGTCAGCAGAAGGAGACTAGAAACAACAGTGGTCATCCAATGTCTCAAACTTGGAGCAGTTTAGGAAAATGTTACAGATTATAGGGTATTTAAACGGTTGAGTCTGAAATGGTGTGTAGTTTCGTATATTTTTCCTACATTTCTGTTTAGAACTTCCTTAATATTAAATGCTTGGAAAAAGCCAAGAGGAAGGGCAGAAATTCCATATCCACTTCTGAGAGGCTCTGAGACAGTATAGATAGCCCTGAGAGTACCTAAATGACTCTGTCAAAAGAGCTTTGCCTCAGGGATGGGTGGTAGTGGGCTTGTGCCTTTAATCCCAGCACTTGGGAGGTAGAGGCAGGCAGATCTTTGTGAGTTAGAGGCCAGTGGTCTATAAGAGCTAGCTCCAGGACAACCTCCAAGCCACAGAGAAACCTTGTCTCGAAAAACAACAACAACAACAAAAAAAAGGGCTGGAGAGATGGCTCAGCGGTTAAGAGCACTGTTCTTCCAGAGGTCCTGAGTTCAATTCCTGGCATGGCTCAAAACCACCTTGAATGAGATCTGGTGCCCTCTGCTGGCATGCAGGCAGAAGACTGTATACATAATAAGTAAAAATAAAATATTTTTAAAAATTATTAGAGGAGCTGGAGAGATGGCTCAGAGGTTAAGAGCACCGACTGCTCTTCCAGAGGTCCTGAGTTCAATTCCCAGCAACCACATGGTGGCTCACAACCATCTGTTATGAGATCTGGTGCCCTCTTCTAATGTGCAGATACACATGGAAGCAGAATGTTGTATACATAATAACACCCCCCAAAAAAAGAGCTTTGCCTCAAGGGGGAGCATATGGATGGCAGTGTGTATTTGTGTTAAGTGGGGCCAGGGGCTGGTTTTGGAAAGTCTTGGGGACTTGAGAGATGACTCTGGTTAAAAGCCCTACCTGTATTTACAGAGGACCCAGTTTGATTCCCAACATACATATGGCAGCTCAAGACTGTCAATTTGATACCTTCTGGGTTCTGTGGGTACTCCATATGTATGACACAGGCATACAAGCAGGCAAAACATCCATACACATTAGAAAAAAATGTATTGAAAATCGCATGTAGCGCAAAGCTGTCCTTAACTCCCAATCTATCCGTCTGCCTCCCTCTCAGATGCTAGGATTCCAGGTGTGTGCCACCGCATCCATCCAAGGTTTGTGTTTTATTTCTTAAGAGATGGAAATGGTAAAACATGTGATAATGCAAAGCTGGGTTGGGAGAGAGACAGAATAGTAAGAAAGAAGGAAGAATGCTGAAGCCCTTTCCTGGATCAGGAGATGTGGCAGGCACGACCTAGAACACAGCATGAGACCTAATGCTATGGGAGCAGGGCGTGGGCCTTTCCTTCCCACAGTACAGTAGAGCCAGGTTAGGAAGGGGGAGTTGGGAGAGGAGAGGTGTGCGTAGGCAAGAAGGAGATGGAAGAATGTGTGGCTAGGCTAGGATCCTAGGAATGAATGCCTGCTGCCCTCTGCTTCCACTGCAGGCTGTTCCTGGGATTCTTCTAAAGTCAGCGCCTCCTACAGCTAGCCAGGGATTAGATGGTACTAAGGTCCTTCCTTATGTGTCCTCAGGAAGTCTGAAGGAAGGGGTGTGCTGGCCTTGGAGTTACATGGATTGAGCTCTGCCCCTGCGACCTGAAAAGTTGAAACTTGAGCAGGTCACTCACCTCTAGACCTAGGCCTCTGAGAGAGGCCCCACACTGCCTAGTGCTGTCTAGTCACTGCACATAGGAAGGTTTCGGGGTGGCACATGGTATTCAGAGCTGTAGACTGGTGATGGTCTGTAGGAGCCCTGGAACTGGAAAGGCCCGGTGTGGGGCTGGGACATGGCACAGTAGGTAGAGTGCTTTCTTAGTATCCTTGGAGCCCTGGGTTTGGTCCCCAGCAGCATAACCCAGTGAGGTGGAGGAAGGAAGATTGGGAGTTCAAGGTCATCCACAGCTATATTGCAAGTTGGAGGCGAGCCTGGGCTACATGAGACCCAGTTTGGGATGGGAGAAAAAGAGGCTCTAGTCTATCTCATGTCCTACCCAGGGACCATGGCAAAACCTCACCTGAACCATGACAGTCATTACAGTGCTCAGCCTTTAGGATGAAGGCATTTTGTCGGTGACTGCTTTGGAGACAACAGGCCTATAGATGAAAGGGTCTTAGGGGCCAAATACTAACACAAAGGGCCCCAGTCTGTTCTGCCAGGGTGGGCTGGAGGAAGTCCTCCTAACTCTCTGGCAGCTGCCATCTCAGGAGGGGACCATTTCAGACGACTCCATCAGGACTCCTTTCTACCTACTGCCTTTGGTGCCAGGCTGGGAAGCCTGCCTTGAGAGCAGAGGTGACTCACCGGGCACCTGGGCAGATTAAGAGCCGATTGCCAGGACAGGGTTTGGGTGGGGCTGAGGGAACAGCTTGTTTACAGAGTCAGCCACTGCCCTGTTGTGTAAGGGAAGACTGTCTCTGCAGGTTGTCAGAGCACCAGGAAGGCAGGTCCAGACTGCAGTGTGGTGATTCCACCCTACTGTGAGCAAATGTAGCTGCTTAGAAGCCAGGCCTCTTCCTGCCTTCAGTGTGGTGGTCTTGACAGCTCACACTATTACTGGTTGCAATGAATGATGGTGGCGCAGGCCTGTAATCCCAGAATTTGGGAAGCAGAGGCAGGTGGAGCTCTGTGAATTCAAGATCATCCTGGTCTACATTGTGAGTTCTGGGACAGCCAGAGCTACATAGAAAAATCATGTCTCAAAAAACAAAAAGGGATTTGCTAAAATGACCACCTCATATATCTAGATTCTGCATCACACACTG